CCACATACTGGGCAAACGGTCCACATAAAATAATAACATCAACTACTAAGACAATTGCCACAGATCATGCTTTATATCTTAAAATTAGTTTCTGGACACATACTAACAACAAAAATGTTATCTACTAACCTTACTACTAACCTTATAATCATCATGTTTCAATACATAGTAATAATTAGTTGGTACCATAATCATATATAGGAATGAATACATGAATAGTGCTGCTAAAATCCTGTGTTTTGACTTATTGTCAGTCCTCTGAAAAAAAGGACTGAGTCAGTCTCAACACTGAACCATGGATTTCCTACCCAAGATCGAAGTACCAAACCATGTTGTTAGCTGTAGAAGAACTTCAGTTATTTTTAAGAAAATATTAACTTTTTGAAGACACAAAATTCCTTACAAATTTTGGCAGCATCTTCCTGAATGCTCTGATCTTAAGTGTGTCTCTTTGAAATAAGGGCCTCCCTGAGGTCATTACTCGCCTCTTTCTGTGGAGGTGTGAGTGTGGATTGTGCTCAGTGGCACTCAAGCACTGCTGTTGGGCTTCCCTGAGAATGTAATTTGCTCCGACTGTTTTCACGTACCTGGCAATGGAGGACGAACACTTTGAATCTCCTTTTCCTGCCAGCCACATTCTATTTAAATATAAATTTTCCCTGAGTTTGACAGATGCTCACTGATGGCAAAAAGAACCTAAGCACATCTCAGTGTTAGGTTAGCAGCTACTCTGACATCACAACTGCACAAAATTTTTTCCATGTACTTCTCTTTGTTTGGGGATTCTGGTTTTGTTTTAACATTTGTAACTCAGCAGGAATCAAGAAGAGGACTACAACAAAACAGAAATTTACATTTTTGGTCTTTGTCCTTAAAAAGTTAACTGTAGGGCTGGCTCTGTGGCTCACTCCGTGGCGCTGGTAGTGCCGAGGCCGCGGGTTTGGATCCTATATAGGTATGGCCAGTGCACTCACTGGCTGAGCGTGGTGCAGACCACACCGTGCCGAGGGTTGCAATCCCCTTACCGGACAAAAAAAAAAAGTTAACTGTAGGGCTGGCTCGGTGGCTCACTCCGTGGCGCTGGTAGTGCCGAGGCCGCGGGCTTGGATCCTATATAGGTATGGCCAGTGCACTCACTGGCTGAGCGTGGTGCAGACCACACCGTGCCGAGGGTTGCAATCCCCTTACCGGACAAAAAAAAAAAGTTAACTGTATAAATACATTTGCTGTCTCTACAAAGAGACTAGTTATTTCATTGCTATGAAATGTGAGTAATCCTGCAACTAACACCATGCTAATCTAGCCACTGTAGTACTGGGAAATGGAGACCATATATACTAATGAAGTAACCCTAGTCAGGGAGTTCTTTCTAAGAATGAAGGGCTGTACTGGATTGAAGTGCCCTCTCTAATAAATTATTCTACACTTTCAGGCTTATTAATTCTGTTTGGCTGTAAAATGCTTATGATCAACAAATAATAGGATATATCAAGAAAGTGTTTTTTAGTTATATCCTCTCAAGAATTAAGCCAAAACACCTATAATGTTTTCTTTATTAAAATGTAGTAAATTAAGAAGCAGCATAGAAAAGTAGTGAACAACATGTGTTCTGCATTACACAAAACCTGGGCTTGTGCCCTGGCTTTTGCTATGCATCAGCTTTGTGACCTTGGATAATTATTCGACCTAAGACTCAGATTCCTTGGGTGTAAAATAGATAGAAGTAGAATAACACCTTTTTCCTAGTTTTGTTGCTCGGTATGATGCCTGACAAGGAGTAGTACTCCGTAAGTGTTCATCATGGTTATTATGTTCATTCACATTTGAGTAGCATTCATTTTAAAAATACGGACTGAGAATCTAGTGTGTGCCAGGCTCTCTTCTAGGGGCTGAAGAACAGCAGTGAATGAGATGAGGATTGCTAATGTTTGCTGAGGGTTGACCATAGGCCAGGAACTGTGCCATGCCTTTTACATGTGTTAACACATTTCAAACTCATGACAACTCAGTGGTACAAATATTCTCATTTTACAGATGAAGAAACTGAGAAAAAAACAGCAATACAGGGTAGAGGCAAGATCTGAGTGTAGGTCTCTAGCTGGAGAGCTTGCCTTCTTCACCACTCTGCAAGCTCCAGCATCTGAGCCAGATAATGAACAACTGCATGAATGAGTAAATTCACAGATCGACACTGGCTATGAGGAACACGAACCTTAGGATAAGAGAAGCCAAGGGACTAGGGGAGTGGAGGCCAGAGAAGGCCTCTTTGAGAAGGTGATGTCAGAGCAGAAGCCTGTGACATGAAGAAGAGTACCAGGCTGAGGTCTGCAGGAACAGTATTCCAAGGAGAGGGAAGGGAACAGCATGAACGAGAAAGACCCTGTAGCAAGCGTGAGCTTTATATGAAAATTAAGTTTCTTTTTTTTTTTTTTTTTTTTTTTTTTTTTT